GAACTATGTTAGCCTGTTTCCACACGTCTGCTACGATTCCTGTACACAGGGATGCCTGAAAGATCAGGTGAAGTGGAATGCTGAGCTCAGATGCACATTCTCTCAGAACCCATGGTGAAACGCCATCTGGGCCAGCTGCTTTGTTCTTACCGAGCTCCTTTAGCATATTTTCCACTTCATCTCTAGACACCTCTATCCGCTCTATGTTGTTCTCTGGAATTCTTATTGCGTCTGGTTCTCTGAAGATTTCATTTTGTACAAACACACTTTGGAACTTTTCATTTAATGTTTCGCACATTTCCTTTTCATTTTCCGTGAATCTGTTTCCCATTTTCAACCTCTGTATATTATCCTTTACCTGCAATTTGTTGTTTATGAATTTGTAGAATAGGCCCGGTTCTGTTTTACATTTATCTGCTATCCCTTTTTCAAAATTTCTTTCTGCCTCTCTCCTTACTGCTGTATAGTTGTTTCTCGCATCTTTGTATCGCTGGTATGTTTGGGGGTTTGGCCTCTTCCTATACTGATTCCATTTTTGTGTCTTTTGGTCTCTTGCCCTCTCACAATTTCTGTCGAACCAATCCTGTTTTCTGGCCCTGCATCTCTGTTTTGGTATGAATGTTTGTGTGCCTTCCTCGTATAGTTTTAAAAATTTGGCATACATTTCATTTACTTCCCTGCCTATCAACAATTCTGTCCAATTACACATTAAAAAAATTTCGAAGTTCCCCATAGTTGCCTCTCCTTAAATCGAGTTTATCAACTGTTTCAATGTCCCCATTTTCTTCTAGATGATATCTTAAAGCATATTTAATGTCTAACAGGACGTGATCACTCTTTCCCAAGGGAGGAAGATACTGGATGTCAAAAATCTCTTCTTCTTTCCTGGTGAATACTAGATCCAGTACTGACGGTACATCTCCTTCCCTCATTCTTGTGGCTTGCTTTATGTGTTGATACAAGAATGTCTCCAGAATGAGGTTCACAAATCTGCATGTCCAAAAGTCCTCCGTTCTTGCTTCATAGGCCTCCCAGTCTATTGCTCTAAAGTTGAAGTCCCCCAGTATCAACAGTCGTGATTTATATTTATCTGCTTGTACAATAATATCTCTCATGACCAACCTAGCACAGGTATTTGCGAGATTCAGAACCTATGGTTTACGCCTGAAACCACAAAAATGCGCCCTCTTTAAGAAACGGGTTGAGTTCTTAGGCAGGATGGTCAGCAGGGCAGGACTAGAACTGGGAAAAGAGGCGATAGACACAGTGGTGAAATGGCAGAAGCCGGGATCATCCAAAGACGTGGAAAGATTTCTGGGACTGGCCAACTACCATCGGACCTTCATAAAGGGATTTGCAGAGTTAGCCGCACCCCTATACGCACTGACCGGCGGAAACAGATTCGAATGGGGAGACAAGCATCAAGAGGCTTTTGCAGCTATCAAAATGGCCTTAACTACAGCTCCGGTGCTGGGATTACCTAATGGACATGACCCCTTCATCCTGGACACCGATGCCTCCGACTGGGCGATAGGAGCGGAGCTGCTACAGGTTCAAGAGAAGAAAGAAAGGGTAATTGCTTATGCCAGTTTCGCATTGACCCCAGAACAGAGAAGGTATTGCACCACGAGGAAAGAGCTATTGGCAGTAGTCAGGTTTACCAGGCTGTTCCGGCACTATCTCTTGGGGCGGCCTTTTACCATACGCACGGACCATGGCAGCCTGGTCTGGCTGGTTAGGTTTAAGAACCCCCAGGGCCAACTAGCACGTTGGCTGGAGGAGCTGAGCCAATTTGATCTAAAAATCCAGCATAGAGCAGGTAAAAAACACAACAATGCAGACTCTTTATCCAGGGAGGGAGGCACTCAACAGGCATGTACCCACTTTCGCCAGGACGTGCCAGTGCAGGACCTGCCGTGTGGAGGATGCTCATACTGTCGCAGGGCACATCAGAACTGGGCGACCTTCCAGGAGACGGTAGATGACGTCGTCCCACTGGCTACGGGGTCGTTCAGATGTGCATGTAACGTTCAGATCCGGGGGACGATTAGACGCGTGAGCACTATAGCCCCTATTCAAGACTGGTGGTCGGAGGATTCCAACTTGGCTGTCTTCCCATGGGACCCTGGCGAAGATGGCCGAAGAAAGCCTGCCGAGACGCTTTATAAGGAAAAAGACGCAGTGGCCCCAGAAGTAGTAGACATTAGGATCATCACCAGAACAACGGCGGACAGGCTAGGGTTGCATTTACTCGAGTTACAGGAGCGGACGGAGAGAGACCCGGACATGAGAATGGTAAGAGAATGGGTGGGAGGCCGTCAGCCAACAGAAGGGGACCTGTTCGGGGCCAGCCCTGCAACAAAATACTACTGGTTAAACAAAGAAGCACTCCTCATGGAAAATGGGCTTTGGTGGTGGCACAAAGTAGATCAGGGGGGAGCCGCCCAGAAGCTTTTGTATGTACCCAGCAGCCTGAGGCAGGAGGTACTGAATCTGTGCCATGATATACCTGATATGGGCCACCAGGGCCGGAATCGCACAATGGAGCGGGTCAAAGCAAGGTACTTCTGGTACGGACTATCAACGGACGTCGCAAATTACGTGGCATCATGCCACCACTGTAGTATGAACAAAAAAGCATCCAAGACCAGCAGGCATGAGCTGCTTAAGTACCAGGCGGGTGCACCAATGGAAAGGGTACACTTGGACATTCTGGGACCATTGCCTAAGACTCCGAAAGGCAACGAATATCTCCTGGTAATGGTAGATCAGTTCACTAAATGGATTGAGTGTGTGCCACTACCGTCCCAGACGGCAGAGAACACCGCCCGAGCAGCACTCGATGGGTTCTTCACCAGGTTCGGGTATCCGTTTGAAATCTTCACCGATCAGGGCAGGAATTTTGAAAGTGACTTGTTTACGAAGCTCTGCGAATTGATGCACATCCACAAGGCCCGTACTACCGCCTACAGGCCGTCGGCGAATGGGCAGGTGGAAAGGTATAACAGAACCATCATGGATGCATTGCGGTGTTATGCCAGTTCCCAACATGACAGCTGGGACACCTATATCCAACACATAGCAGGGGCCATCAGGTCTAGTGTGAACCGACAGACGGGGTTCACGCCCAACAAGTTAATGCTCGGTTGGGAAACCAACCAGCCAATAGATTTAATGTACCCCCGGGAGGTGCAACTTCAATCAGATGCAGTACCTTACCTAGCAAATTTGCAGAAGGAAATTGAGAAGGCGCATGGACTGGCACGGAAGTCTCTATCCACGAACCAGGAACGAATGAAGAGAGATTATGACCTACGGGCAAGGCTACAGGTCTATGAGAAAGGGGACCTGGTTTACCTGCTAGACACGGCACAGGTGAAGGGGCAGTGCCGGAAGCTATCACCGCAGTGGAAGGGCCCAGGCGTCATCATCCACAAGTTCTCATCTTGTTTATTTAGGGTCAAGCTCCAGAATGACAACATCACAGCAAATCATGATAAACTAAAGAAGTGCAAGGACCGTACATGCCCGGGCTGGATTGAGAAGTTTAAACATCATATGTCACAGGTTCAGGACCCAGTGGGAGGGCCATATAAGGACCTTTACTGTGTGTGTCGGCAACCATACGATGGAAAGTTTATGGTGCAATGCGATATGTGCGCGGAATGGTTCCATGGGGTCTGCGTGGGAGTGACTCTGGCGAGTGTACGATCAAAACCAGAGTATGCATGTCCTCGGTGTGAGCCATAAGAGCAGGAAAAGAAAAAAAAAAAAAAAGAAAAAAAAAAAGAAAAGGAAAAGGAATAGTGTAGTGTATGCAATGTTGAAACAGTTCGTGTATAGTGCAAAGACAATACGGGTAATAATTGTAATAGGACCCATTCATGAAAATAGACTTTTTTACAAAAAAGACATGTTGTATATAGTGAAACGTTTTCCCTCCAACATACCCGTTGTTCTATAGGGACGGGAGGAGTGTAGAGGGAACCACATTCAAAGTGCCCGCCAAGGAGACATTTTACAGTATAGGCAGGGCTGTGCCCTGATTGGTGGACGACGACGGCGCACGGCCTACCCGCGCGGCAGCCCGCGCAGGCCGAGTGGGCCAGATTTGAACTGCATGTGACCCAACGCGGACGACGCCTGCCCGGCACCACTGGCACTTAGGATATGTGCCCATAGGACCCCTAAGAGGCATTGATTCCCTCTGTCCTACCCTTCCTGAGGAGCCTAGACTTGCTCCACCTACCCTACCAGCCCTTCCTCTCCCTACGACGACAGTTCCAGGTGAATTACTGTACTATTGTTGTAACACGTGGGTCACCTCTACAGCAGGTTAGTGACACTGGCCTGTAGTTCAGTGCTTCCTGTCTATCCACTTTCTTGTATATCGGGACTACATTAACAGTCTTCCAAATTTTTGGCAATTCCCCTGTTACCATTTATTTGTTAAACACTATGGAGAGTGACAGGCACAGTGCTTCTGCTCCTTCCTTTAGTTTCCAAGGGGACATTCCATCCGGGCCTATAGCCTTTGTCACATCCAATTCTAGCAAGAGCTTCCTTACATCCCCGCGAACACCCATACATGGGTGTACACACACACGTGTGCACACCCGTGTATCCGAGTGTGTGTACACCCGTGTGTGTACACCCGTGTACACCTGGCTGTGCTGGTGTGGTTGACCTCTCTCGCTGGAGCCAGCTGCACCCCTCCCCCCCCCCCACTTCAAGGGCACCTCTGGAACCCCTTACCTTAAACACCTAAACATCGTAATCACACCTAAAGTAATACTAATTTCTGAATTAAAAGATTATTGCTAATTATTATTATTATTATTATTATATCTGGCTTACATCACACACCTGCCTCGCCAAGTGCCCGATGTTTCACCTCACAGCCGCCCTCATCTACGCCCTACCTCACTGTACTCTCATCAACCACCTCCACCCACCTCACAGCTCTCCAGACCTCACATACTCATGGGTCAAGAACTCACCGATCAACACTTTTCCCCCGAGTAAAACACCACAAAAGTCTTGTTCTTCCAGAGTCCCGGACACTAATGTTTGTGTGCAACTCTGTGTAGCAGTGAGAATTGTTGAAAATGGTTACTTGTATCTCAATGGGGCTTTTAGTGCATTTGTAATGTATGAAAACGGTAACATATAAATTGAAATGTACAAATATTTTGTCTTAATTCAACGTTTATTTTTTCTTATGTGTGTTGTTTTCCAAAAATTATCCGTATTAAGTCACGATGCCAATTCTTTTCATAGAAAACGATTGGGACGACTCATATATTTTGTGATCATGCATGTATGATCTGAGTTAGTAATAATCTGAATAATAATTTACCTGAAGGCCACTGACACTAGCGGCCTCGATGAGGACAGGAAGTCGCCGGCTTGTCGAAGGTTCCTCGCATTTGTCTTGATAAATCTCTTTCAATTGAATTTTGAAATCTAACAGTTTCGGCATTTACGACTTCGGGGGGTAGGCGGTTCCATGGGTTTCTATCTCTATGAGTGAAATAGCATCTGTAACGTAGAAATATGTTATGTTGTTGGGTAGATTAGATACACATTGTTTAGTGAGTTTCCATATTTATTTAGTAATCTTGATTACAGTAGTCGGTTGGTGGCGTTGTCGTAAACGTTGAGACGGAGCTTGGAGCAGAGCAGAGAGCTGAGTGAGGCCGGAGTCGCGGAGCTCTATGTGGGAGAGTGTGGCGGCTCGATTGGGAATTGCGAGTGTCTGAACTCGGAGAGCGAGAGCGTTGTAGCTCGATGCGGTCGTAGTCTGCTGTCTGCTCTGTGTCGAAGCTGTAGTGTCTTGGGTGGATTAGAACAGTACACGCCTAGTGCTACATTCTTGACTGTGGAAATTTTATTGGTTTGCTATTCTCAAATCGCTTGCTTCTCAGCTCCCTCCAACGAGATGAGAAAAGTATTACCTGTAATTGGGGAAAGGATTGTAGCTTCTGTAATTAGTGCTAATTAGTTATGCTATTAAGATAATGAGATAATGGAGCGAGTATAAGATTAACTCGCTACACATCTGTTAAACTCTTGTAGCGAGTAAACCTATACTCACTCCATTATCTCATCATTTTAATGGCATAACTAATTACACAAGCTATAATCCTATCCCTATTTACAGGTAACGGTTTTTCCACCCGCCTATCTTACTGTGAGGTGTAGTAACCGTATATAAGCCAGCGATTTGAGAATAGCAAATTACGGGCTATTCATGCCCGTGCCACCTCTTGGGTGGCTTAATCTTTATCAATCAATCGAATAGCAAACCAGGATTCACAATCCGTTCAATTGTCGTGTCACGTCCTTCACTCACCAGACCACTCCACAAGTGATCATTTGAAATTTCATCATGGAATTCCAATTGACTTATAATCGATCCAGCAATGCTGCTCAGAGTAGGAAAAAACCATCGATAATGGACACCAGTTCCGAAAGTGACGGCGAGTGGCATCACGTGAATAAGGCTAACAGGACAAGCCACTCCATGACGACCCATCGCCCATTAATCTCTCCAGCTTCTCCAGCTCTCCCAGCGCCTCAGACTAGATCTACGTTTCCGGTCTTCAAAGTGCAGCACACGGAAGGTAAGTCTTCCTACGCTACTGTAGTGGACCTGGAAAAAGAGTACCCCCAGCTCCAGGTCAGGGCAAAACCTAATCTCAAAGGAGAATACATTCTGAGGCCTAAAGACGAGTCGGCCGCTACGATTCTAAAAAATTACGCAAAATGTGAGGAACTGAAACCAGAGGATAAAATAAGTAAGGTCATTGTCCTCCACTATCCCATGCATATGGCCCTTGGCCATCTCGAAAAGCTGAACTATGTGGTGTCAGCAGAGAGATGCCAAGTACGAACCACATAACAGGAAACTCGACAAGTCCTTCTCACAGTAAGAGGACGGATCCCGAAAAAACTTGACCTTGGAATCTGGGGGGTGTTCCAACACAGGCCTTACACCCCAGAACCCCTAAGATGCTTTAGATGTCAGAGATTTGGGCATCACAAATTTGGCTGCCAACGCCCAGTGAGGTGCGGAGTCTGCAGCCAGCCCCATGATACAAAAACATGTATTGATAAATTCAAGGCAAACCACCCTGTTCAGGCAAAATGCCCAAATTGTTCCAAGGCACATCATGCCTGGAACTTGAAATGCCCTGAAAGGCTCAAAAGGCTTCAAACGAACCCCACCACGCCCACAGCGGAGCCGAAACCCCCACCAAAACGAATACCAGCACCCATGCCCACTAAAAACGCGTGGGGTCTACCCATTCAGGAAGAGGGGGCACACGGCCCTTCACCATCGGCCATGGTAAAGGATGAGAAGACAGTACAGGACAAAAAGAAAGATGGAGGACACAAGAATCATGTTCAAAGCAGTCGGCCTCCCATTTCATCCAGCAAGCACACTGGGGCCAATAGAAGTAGCAATTCCAGTGCCAAAGTTACCACCGAGAAGGGTCTGAAAGCCACCAGGCCCTCAACCTGCACAACATTAAATAGTGCTCCCACTGAACTGAACGCTCTCTGGCCAATGCTCAAAACTTTGGTCACTGAGTTGATCGAAAGTCTGCTGTCTTCACATGGAATCAAGCAAACCACAGAGACTCGGAAGACAATTAGCTCAAAAAATTCGAAGATGTAATATCCACACCGTCAAGACAGCAGGGCAGGAGGCACCCCCATAAAAAGCAGATAGAGTCCAGCTCGTCGGAAAGCGACATTGATGAGGCAATTTCAGGTCCACTAAGAACCTATACCCCAATTGCAACTTCCATGGCGTGTTCATCAGACTCCATGGATACCACGGAATTATCAGCACATTCCAAGAACCTAGAATTCTAAAGATCCTGCAATGGAATGCGCAAGGACTGCGCACTAAATTGCAACACTTGCAATGCATAGCAGCAACCAAAGGCATAGACATCCTGATACTACAGGAGAGCTTGCTTCGAGCCGGATTAGAACCTAAAATCTCAGGCTATCGAGGCTTCTTCCTTCCATGGATCAATGGGCAATCCAGGGGATGTGCAATCTATGTAAAATGTGACCTGATCTCCAAATCCATAACCAGCCCACCCAATTGTGGAGCAGGGACAGAGGTAATGGGAGTCACCATTGAGCTAAGACACGACAAACTTGAAGTGTTCAATGTGTACAGGTCTCCACAAGCCGAAATGGATCTCTCTGTGTTATTTGGACACGCGACAACAACAAACACAATCATTTGTGGAGATTTTAATGCCCATCATCGATTGGCACTGGGCTCGAACAAAACAAATGAAGCCGGCATACACATTACACATCTACTGGACCAGCTTCCAGAAATACAAATCCTAAACAAGAATGAACCTACCCACATTCAAGGAGGCAGATTAGACCTAACCTTCGTTTCAGCCTCCCTAAGAGATGCAGCAACATGGTCAGTTGAGCCCACACTCACAAGCGACCACTATGGGGTCCAAATTGATCTTCAGTTAGACCTACCCACCCCACCTCCGCCTCCATCTGAAGCCTGGAACTTTGCTTTAGCAAACTGGGACCGATTTCAAAACCTCATTTGCCACCACTTCAGAGAGGTGGTGGCACTGCTCTTTACTACCACCAAGAACTAACATGCTTAAAAGAAATTAGAACTAGAGACTGCTATGGGGAGTATATCTTCGCCAGCTTCAGAGTCAAGGGTGCCGAGTCTATCCTGTCTGTGGGTGCAGTTTATAGAATTCCTAACACTGATGTGTCCGAATTCAACTCAAACCTTAGAAATCTAATACTTGATAACAGACTGAACAAAAACCACCTAATTATCGCAGGGGACTTTAATATTGACCTCTGCGAGCCAGAACACCCTACTGCTGTTAGCTTCCTCAACTGTATGAATTCCTGCTTCCTCATACCCTTAATCACTAGACCTACTAGAATCACTGATAGCACTGCCACGACTCTAGATCACATCTGGACAAATATAACCTCTCCGCTTACTTCAGGTATAATCACCGATAGCACTACAGACCATTACCCCACATTTCTCTTAACTAACATTAGCAAACCACCTCTAGAAACAAGGGAGTTAAGCTTTAGGCTGCACAATGAAACTGCTATAAACAATTTTATATCTGCTGCTGATAATGTCAACTGGGAGTCCGAGTTAGGTAACATAGGGGACATCAGCCTAGCAGTGCAATCTTTTCTACAAACAACTCTTAGCCTTTATAATACCCACTGTCCTATGCTTACAAAACAAGTCACAACCAAAAGGCTTAACAATCCCTGGCTTACAAAGGGAATACTTAAATCTATTAATAAAAAACATGACCTTGAGAAAAAGTATAGGTTAGGGATTGTCTCCAAAGAATTCTCAAAGAATTACTCATTATTGCTATCTAAGATAATTAGACGAGCCAAAACTAAGTACTACGAAGATAAATTTACCCAAATAAAGAGCAACATTAAACAAACATGGAGAACAATTTCACAAATATTGGGATCAAAGAAGTCTTTAAATAACAAACCGACTCTCCTGTCTAATAACGACGGTCAGCTTTCAGCCTCTGATTCTGCTATTGAGTTCAATAGGTTCTTCTCTTCCATTGGTTCATCCCTTGCTAATGATATTCCATCTTCCAGTACTGACATTAAGGACTATCTGACAGGGAACTATCCCCAGTCTCTGTACCTAAAGCCTATTAATTCCATTGACGTCAATGAGATAATCCTTTCCCTTAAAACCAAGTCTGGTGCCCTTGAGGAGATACCAACTTTAATCTACAAAAAAGCCTCCAGATCTTTAGCCCCTGCTATTGCTTTGCTCTTCAACAAGTCACTTGAACTCCAAACCTTTCCAGATATTCTAAAAAAGCGAGAGTAACGCCTGTCCACAAATGTGGTGATCTCACAGATGTTAACAACTACAGACCTATATCAATCCTGCCAAACTTGTCAAAAATTTTTGAAAAACTAATCTATAAGCAGCTTTACTCATATCTAGCCAAACTCAATATACTTAGCCCTTGCCAATATGGCTTCAGGCCCCAAAAAAGCACTAACGATGCACTTATTAGTATGCTTAA